GGATGGCAGGTCCAGGGTGAGAGTTCTCCAGATCCCTTCAGCACCCTGGGCACACCTGATATCCTCGGGCACTCTGGGGCTCCCTTCACCCTCCCTCTCTTCCTGGGGGTGAACTGGGCACCCCAGGCCCCCTCCCCTGGCTGTCTCCGGAGCTGGACCCCTTTGAAGCGCCTGCAGGTCTATTTTGAGAGCTGAGTATCTCCCCCCTCCCCTCCTCTCTTCCTGTTTATGAAACCCTGATCCCTCCCTGATCCCTCGTGCTCCCCTGGCCTGAGCGCAGGCAGGATGTGACTGGACTTCAGGGAGCCTCAGGTGTTGTGGGGACTTCCCCTGGGCTGGCCAGGACAGGCCTAGCCCGCCCTCCCAGCACCTGGGGCTCTGTGGCTGGACTCTGACCCTGTAGCCTGCCCAGTGGGGACCCTGCAGCAGTAAGACTGCCCAGCTAAACCAGAGAGAGGTTCTGTTTACAATGTCCCTTTGTCTCTGTGGCCCAATTTGCTTCTAGAAAGCCTTCTGAGGGTGGAACATGTACTTTTAACCTCTGTTTTACAGAGGAGGAAACTGAGGCTCAGGTAGGCAAAGACATTTGCCTCAAGCTCTTCTTGTCTTCCCACCCTTCCCTCCCAACCTCAAGCCTTTTACTCATGCTGGTCTTCCTTCCTGGCTAACACCTGTTCATCCTCAGGACCCAGCTGGACTGCCCCTCTCTGGGCACCCGCAGCACCTTGATTGCAGCCCTGTCATAGGATGTTTGTGTTTTATTATCATGTATTTTCGGAGAGTCCCTGGGTGATGCAAATGGTTAACGTGCTTGGCTGCTAACTGAAAGGTTGATGGTTCAAGTGCACCCAGAGGCATCTCAGAAGAAAGGCCTGGCGATCTACTTCCAAAAAATCAGCCATTGAAAATGCTATGAAGCACAGTTCTGCTCTGACATACATGGGGTCACCATGAGCCAGAACTGACTTGATGACAACTGGTGTTTGTTTTCAGAAGCTCTCTGAGGACAGGGCCAGGGTCTGCGTTAACCTCTGTGCCTCCTCGTGTCCAGCTCTGGCCCAGGACAGAGTAGGGGCCAGTACTGTGAGTGATGTGCAGAGAGGGGCCGGGCTGTCCTTGCTAGGAGAGTGACAATGAAATGCTTAAAAGTGGGGGTTTTGGAAGCAAACAGACTTTGAATTTGCTCTTAGCGCTATCCCTTTCTAGCCACATAGCCTTGGGCAAGTTACTTTCTCTCTGAGTCTAGTATCCTCATCTTTGAAATGGAGATGACAATACCCCCTTGTAGCTAAGATCTTAGCTCCAGTGCTAGGGTCTAGCAGAATCCACATCATCAAAGGTTGAAGGAAAGAGTGGCTGCATGCAATAAATGCTCGATTAATAGGAGGTGCAATTCCCATCGTTACTGTTTGCCAGTCCTGGCCTAGTGCCTGAGGCCAGCTTCCCACTCAAGTAGGCCTGGGCCTAGGGACCCCTTCTCACCTGCCCAGAGACATGCTGGGAGGTACGTCTGGGGACATCTGTCCCACCAGAGGGGATAATGTCTGGGAGGCCCTGCAGATGCTGCCAGCTGGGTAAGGGGCTGTTGGTGTCCATTAGGGCCAGGGGCAGGCAGGTGGGCTTGAGCTACAGCTGCTGGAGGGAGGCCCAGGGATCAGGCTGGGGGGCTCTGGGCTTCTCTCTCAGCTGCTATACGGGAGGAAGTAAATAAAGAGGAAGTGTCTATGAGGGGAGAAAGGGGCAGGGACCAAGGGGATGTGGTCTGGTGCCTGTCCTCCCCCTCCCATCACCAGAGGCCACACAGCCCCTCCAAACACCCTTCTGTGAAGGCAGTTCTGAGACTGTTTCCTTCCTATTGTCCGTTCCTGTACCCTGCTGGCCATAGAGGTTCTTCCTCTGCTTCTAGGGGGCAGGCCCGGGGAGGGGCCGAGCTAGCACTGGCCACTCCTCTGCTGCTGGACCAGAACGCTCTGGGGCTCCCAGGGTTGCACTGGCCTCCAAGTCCTGGCCTGAGGAATCTGGGTGGCAGTGAGAGGCCTCAGTTAGGGGGAATGTCTTTCGCAGCCCCCGGCAGGACACCACCCGTCAGAGACTATTATTGGAGGCCCTGTGAGAGCTGGGAAGGGGAAGTCTGTGTATACGTGGGCGCCTGGATTTCCACATAGGGGGTGTCTGTGGAAATGATTTCCGACCGTCAGCCTGAGTGTGTGTTTGTGTGCATGTCAGTTCCTGTGGGTGTACTGGTGTGAGTGAGGAGGTGGGGCTGTGTAGAAAGGGTGGGGTCTGGTCCACCCGTCCCGTAGCCACCTGCTCCTCCACCTAGACTTCTGTGTTGGGCTGTCCAGTGGGCAGCCAGGGTCCTTGCCTAGGGGCTTCTGCCCCATTTTCCATCCCAGGGGTTTGGACTGGCAGGCTTCTTCAGGAAGGGCTTGGAGTATGGGGACTCTGAGCAGGGGCAGGGCTGGGTATGGCGCCTGCTTTGTGGGCTGGCATTTCGGGTGAGCCTCGCCATGATGGTTGCTACAGGGGAGGGAGTGTCCTCGGGAGTCAGACTGAATAATCTCTGGGCTGGGCAGTTCAAGGCTGTGGCCTTGCTGACTTCTGTCCCCAATCTCTCAGACCCCCCTCAGGGGGTGCTGGGATGGGATGTCCACTGTGTCCCTGCCTCATCTCTGTGTGACTTCTGTCTCTTATCCCATCTCCCCCTTCTTAGAGTCGTGGAGACAAGAGATGGGCATCCCTGAGTCCTCCTTGGGGCCTTGGACTTGGGGTCTGCAGTATCCCCTCCTCGGCAGGGAGCCTGACCCATCTTCTGTTCCTCCTCCTTGCAGAGGGGGAAGTGAGAAGGAGGGAGGCCAGGGACCGTGCCTTCTGCTGGAAAGGCTGAAAAAGCAGAAGTAAGGGGAGTGACGGGGCCCTCTGGCCACCGGCTTGATCCCCACCATGCAGACCCCGGCAGACTTCCCCAGGGTTGAGGGAGACTCAGTCCCCTGTCCCAGAAAGGTGAGCAGAGAGGTGGGCTGCCTCCAACAGTGTCTGTCATGACAACTCTGGGCAAGGACTGGGTTTGGGGGTGGCTCTCCTCCTCTGGGGTTTCTGGGTGGCTGCCTCTGTCCCCAGGGAGTGTTCTCAGTCAGAGGCAGACAGACTAGGTGGAGGCTTAGATCTCAGAACAGGGTGGGCAGGCATTGCTGTTTTCTTGGCCCACCCCCACCCCCCTCTCTGAGCCAGGCTTTCTGCCTGTCCCTCCAGGTGTTTACACTCAGGGGTCCGATTAGCCTGCAGCTTTCCGTGGCTGCTACACCCACTCCACCATCTGTCAGGGAGAGTTCTCTGAAGATGGGCCTGTGTCTCTGAGGGTCAGGATCTAGAGTGGGAAGTCCCCAGGCTGACCCTAGTGCTGAGGATGGGGGCGGGCTGGGGTGGGCAGGAAGTGGCTCTGGTTGACTTACCTGCCCACCCTTTCCTGGCACTCAAGGCCAGGCAGTAACCAGGGGAGGAACTTGGGTTCAAGCCGACTCTGCTGCCTGGCTCGTTTTGAGCCTGGATGAGTCACTGTCCTGTGGGCCTCAGTTTCTTGTTCTCAGAGGAGATGATGGCTTTGGGATATTTTGGGTCAGAGTCAAAGTCATTAGATGACACTCAGGAGATGGTCTCTTAGCCCACTGTCTTAGTCCCAGACCTCCTCAGGCCCTGATGTAGGAAGAAAATCTGAGGGAAATGGAAGACCTCAGGGTTGGGTCTGCCATGAATACTGGGTTGCTCTCCTTAGTCCTGGGGGTTTGCAGTTATATCTCCTCACCCTTCCCCCTTCCCAGACAGACCAACAAGGGTCTGACCCCCTTTCGTGGGGATCCCTGCCCTGCTACCTATCTGCTGACTGTCAGATTCCATCTGCTCTGGGTATCTGACAGTCTGCTTGGGTCTCACTGACTCTCTGGCTGTCTCTGTCTGCTACCTACCTGCCTCTACTGTTGGGTTCCTGTCTCTGTCTCCACCTGTCTTCGCCTTTTGGGTACATGTTCCCATCTGTCTCTTCCTGTTGGGCTCTTGTCTCCTTCTGTCTCTGCCTGTTGAGTACAGGAACTCCTCTTTCTCACCCTGTTGGGTATATGTCCCGTCTGCCTCTCTGCCTGTTGGGTATGTGTCCCTATCCATTTCCCTGTTGGGTACAAGTTCCCATCTGCTTCCACTTGTTGGTTATGAGTCCCCATTCATCTCCATTTCTTGGGTACATGTTCCTATCTGTCTCCACCTGTTGGATATGTGTCCCCATCTGCCTCTGCCTGTTGGATATGTGTCCCCATCTGCCTCTGCATGTGCCCCCTTCTGTCTCTGCCTGTTGGGTACGTGTCCCTGTCTGCCTCCACCTGTTAGGTATGTGTTTCCTCCTGCCTCCTCCTGTTGAGTTTGAGTCTCCTTCTGTCTCTGCCTGTTGAGTACATGTCCCAGTCCATCTCTGCCTGTTGAATGCCTGTCTTTATCTGTCTCCACCTCTTGGGTGCCTGCCTCTGCCTGTTGGGTGTCTCCCTTTATCTGCCTCCATGTGCCTCTGCTGTCAAGTTCCTGTCCCTGTCTCTTCTGATGAGTGCCTATGTTCATCTCTGCCTGACGGGCATCTATCTGGTCCTCAGCAGCTGGGTTGGCGTGGGGCTTTCCCTTTGCAAGCCCCACAGGGAGGCTGGGGGGAGGGCCAGAGGGCAGCCCTCAGGCACTGGGGAGGGGAGAAGAGAGAGAAAGGGAACCGGGTGAGGGTGTAGGCCTGGAGCTGGGAAACCACAGGCCCTGAATGATTGGCGGTCCTGGGCTGGGCCCAGCCCCCGCCCTCACCCTGCACATCCGCCTTGGGCCCGGCCACCTCCGCGGCAGCCCCGGACGCTGCCTGCTCCTGCCATGGTGCCACGGCCCTGCCGGGCGGATGGAGCAGGATCCCAAGCCGCCCCGTCTGCGGCTTTGGGCCCTGCTCCCCTGGCTGCCCAGGAAGCAGCGGCCCAGGATCAGCCAGACCTCGCTGCCTGCCCCGGGCCCTGGCTCTGGCCCCCGGCGGGACTTGGTGAGTGTGCTCGGGCGTCTGGTCCTGCCCTGGCTGTGGCCCTGGGAGCAGGTGCTTCAGCAGCCAGTTCGGCCTAAGCTGACTTTTGGCTGTGCTGGCCCAGGCCTGGCTGTGTTGGATGAACTGGACGCTGCCCAGAGCTGCATCCTGGGGAAGTGAGGAGGCACTTTAGGGCCCTAGGCCAATGGTGGTGGGTTGGAGGAAGGGCAGAGGGGTCCTAGAATAGCCAGGACCTGGCAAGGGGCTTCTCATAGGCTTGTACGAGGGAAGTTTGGGAGGGAAGGCATTGAGTCTGGCGTTAACTCCCAACTGCCCCAGGTTGATGCTTACCAGGTTGGTGGGAGAGTCCCAGATGATTCTTAGGTCTCTATGTACCTCAGCCCTGTCCTGCTTGCCAGAGGGATCCCCCGCTTTCCCATCCTGATCAGTAACAAAGGTTCAACTCCACCTCTCCAGTATGAGAACAAACCCTACTTCCTATTGTGGTAAAACCAAAAACCTTTGCAGAAGGGGGAGGGGAGCCCCACAGGGAGGGCCTGGGGCAGGCCTACAGGCCTCAGCCAGAGCCTAGGGTTAGGGTATTCCCTTCTGCTCATGCCTGGGCATCCCAGGCTGGAGAAGCAAGAGAACAGGAGCACCTTGGTGGTTTGGCCCTCCCTGACCTTTGAGGCCCTTTTTGTATTGATGAACCGGAGGCTGGCTGTATCTGTTCAGGCCTGTGGGGCCTTGTCTGCTGAAATCTGGTGGGAATGGACTTGGATTTGGGGGATGGTGCCCCCATGCCCACCGACTCTGTCTCCACACCAGGATGAGGGCGTCCTCAAGGAGATCTCTATCACGCACCACGTCAAGGCTGGCTCTGAGAAGGCTGACCCATCCCATTTCGAGCTCCTCAAGGTTCTGGGCCAGGGATCCTTTGGCAAAGTAAGTTCTGAGCCCACAGCTGGGAGGGCAGCACTGGCCAAGTCAGAGGTAGGAGGTGAGGGGTCACCTCAGGGCCCAGTGTGTGAGGTGTCACTTTTGGGGTCATAGGGGTGAGAGGTCACCTTGGCGCTCAAGGGATCGGGGGCAAGGGTTGATGGGCTTTTCTCCCACTGCCTTCCCAGGTCTTCCTGGTGCGGAAGGTCACCCGGCCTGATAGCGGGCATCTATATGCTATGAAGGTGCTGAAGAAGGCAACACTGAAAGGTGAGTGGGGAGCAGCTCCCCGTGTGAGCCCAGGCTGGACAGAGGGTTGACAGAGACAGCCTAGTCCTCAGGGCCTTGGGTCTGATGGGAGAGGTAGCTCTATTCTCAGGAGCACCCAGTCTGAGGGAGGAGAAACTGGCTTGCTCTTAGCTGGCCCCCATTTCCCCCCACCTGATGGGGAAGACAGGGCCCGCTCAGAAGAAAAGACTTCAAGCCATTAACCCTACCCCTCCACCTCATCCCTACCCTCACTAATGAAGCCACATGCCAATGACTAAGGCTGAAGATGGATGTCTAGAAGAAGGTAGTGGGGCAAATACAATGTATTTGTGGCGGGGTGGGGGCCCTCAGATATGTTTGGGCAGAGGTATTCTAACTGTCAGTAAAGTTGCTTCATGATGCAAAGTTGGAGGAGGCCTCTCTGGCCTCATTGCTCAGGATGGAGAAGGGCATGAGAGAAGAGGCAGGAACCCAGGGAGCCAGGTGGGCCAGGAGAGGGTGAGATTGAGGCAGGGCAATGGAGATGGATGGCATGGAGGTTCAGAGGGAGCACGAGCCAAAGTCTAGCATTCTGAGGACTTAAGAGGTGTGAGGGTGGTTGGTAGAGGGCTTTGGGCTGGACATTGACTCTTTGATTGGCTTGGGAACCAATGTGGCCATGGACCAGGTGAAGTGGGGGCAATAGGAGGCCTTAGAGATGTTATGGGTCATGTGGCCCATGAAGGGCTGTCTGGGGTGATGGTAGCTTTGGTGCCCCTGTGCCAGCCTGAGGTAGGGATGGGAGTCATTACTCAGGAGGGATGATGGGAGCCACAGGGGAGGAGAAAGATGAAAAGACTTGGTCCCTGCCTGGGAATGCCTCCCAGGCTGGGGCAGGAAAGGCTAAAAACCCTTGGTGGGTGCTGTCAGTGCTGCGACACCAGGATACATGGGCTGGGGGGGCCATAAGAGGAAGGGCTACACCCTGGAGAGGGAAGGCTCAGAGGTCAGGGGGACACCTAAGGAGTAGCCATTTGAGCTATACTGTGAAGGTCGAGTTAGGACTTCTCCAGACAGAAAATGGTAGAGGAAGGGCACTCAGGGCAGGAGACACGGCCTGAGCAGAAGTGCAGAGGCAGGGAAATGCAAAGTGTGTTTGGGAAACAGTGATTAGAATAGTAAGCTCCAGAATGGTCCCTGCCATGTCCAATGAAGGAAACAAAAATTCAAATAGAGGGTAAAAAGTGCTACAAAGGGGGAAGCTCAAGCACTGCAGGAGCCCAGAGGCCCTAACCCAGCTTGGGAGGTTAAGGAAGGCTTCCTGGAGGAGGTGAGGCCTGAACTGAGTCCAAGAAGGAGACGCATTCAATGGTCCCAAACCTGCCAGGATCAGAAATGCCTGGGGACTTTTATTCTTTAAAAAAAAAAGAATGTATTGGAGGGTGCCTGCCCAGACCCATGAATCCAAATTTTAGGCCCAGGGAAAGTTCATTTCTATCTAGCTCCCCAGGTGACTTTTGCAGCCTGTATGCTGGAATTTGGGGATTTTTATGCCCGACGAAGAGGGAGCGGGGTAAGATGTCCCAGGGGGAGCTGCAGAGGCAGAGACCTGGGGGTCTGAGAGACATGGGCACATAGGAACTGGTTGCTCAGACCTGCTGATTTGAATGGCCCTTGATGGGGCATGGTGGGAGAGAGGACTAGAGAGATGAGCAAGGGGCCAAGGGCCCATCCCTGGACCCTGCATGAGGTGTGGGGCCAGGAAGCAGGCCGAGGAGCCAGAAACAGAATAAGAAGGAAGGAAGAAACCTGAAGATTGAGTGTCCCCAAAGTGTCCCCAAGCCCTGCAGAGGAAGCTCTGGGAGCTCAAACCTGGAGGATCAAGTAGAAAGGAGGGCCCTTCTTAGCCAGGGTTTGGAGAGTGGCTGTGTTGGGTGGCTGGACTCTTGGGAGGGCTCTGGCATGACTGCCTTTCTCCTCTGGCCAGTGCGTGACCGGGTCCGGACCAAGATGGAGAGAGACATTCTGGCTGACGTCAACCACCCGTTTGTGGTGAAGCTGCACTACGGTGAGACCACAGACCCACCTGCCCTGCTCGCCAGCCTTCACCTTTGCCTCTGGGCTGCCGCCTTCCCTGTACCTTGTGCCACCTCCCACCAGGCAGGCCAAGAGAGTGAGGAGGGGGCAGAGGAGTAGGTTCTGGAGCCTGTCTGGCTCTACCATTGCCCTTTCCCCTCTCCCCAGCCTTCCAGACCGAGGGCAAGCTTTATCTCATTCTGGACTTCCTGCGTGGAGGGGACCTCTTCACACGGCTCTCTAAGGAGGTGAGCCAGCATCCCACTGCCAGAGAACCCTAGAGTGGAGCTGGAGGGAGAACCAAGCCCCCCATCCCAAGGCAATGCCGAGCCCTTGGCCGGGACCTGGGACTACACAGGCCTGCCTAGCAGTCCCTCACCCTGGAAATAATCACCCGCCCTGGGACAGAGCCCTGGTAAAGCCTCTGAGAGTTCCCCCAAGGCGGGCTGTGGAGGGTCAGGCCCTGGATTCTGATGCTGCCCTGACCCCAGGGAGCCAGGGGTGGTCTCATCTCTCCACCTCTGTTTTCCCAGGGCTGCCCTGCTCAGGGCTGTGAGGATAAGGGAGAAGCCCAGGTCCACCCAGAAAGCTAGAGACTTTAACGTTCTTGTCCCACTTGTTAACCAAAAGGATTCTGAACTAATATAAAAGGATTTGAGCCGGATATAAAAAATAGGATCATTAATACAACTCACACTTTAAAAAGAACCAAACTTTTCTTTTTTTAATTTTTAAAATTTTATTTTAATGCTTGCATAGGTAATACATTTACATGATTCAAAAGAAAAATATTCATCAAGAAGTCTTGCTCATACCCCAGCCCCCTCTACTCCCCCATAGGTAAACATTTTTACTGGTTTCTTGTTTAACCTTCCCATGTTTCTTTGGCAAATACAAACAAATCTAATATGTTCCAAATCCTGGTCCCCACTTTCATACATAAAAAGTGTCATTCTGTATACACTGTTCTGTACCTTGTTTTTTCCATTTGACAGTGTATCTTGGAGATGGTTCCGTATCAGAATAAGGCGAAACTCCTTGTTCTAGTTTGTGGTTGCACAGCGCTTCATTATGTGGGGGAGAAATGGTTTATTCCAGCCTTCTACTGCTGGACCCTTGGGCTGCTGCCAGCCTTTTGCTATGCCAAACAATGTTACAATGAATGACTTGTATATTAGTCATTTCATATTTCAAAACCCCTTTATAAAGACGAGGAGATATAGCACTGGGCTCCCCAAGGGTCCTTCCCAAGGTGGACCCTCAGGATGAAGAAGCTGCTGACTGCCCAGTGCCCCAGTTCCTGAGGAAGAGGGAGGTCCCAGCTGAAGCCCCCTCCCGCCTGTTGCAGGTTATGTTCACAGAGGAGGACGTGAAGTTCTACCTGGCCGAACTGGCTTTGGGCCTGGACCACCTGCACAGCCTGGGCATCATCTACAGAGACCTCAAGCCCGAGAAGTGAGTGAGGCCCCCATCCGCACCCTGGCCTCCCTGCAGAGTGCAGAGACAGGCCCTGGGGCCTCTTCTAGGACAGGGCCACTCTGATGCAGGTGGCCATGGCTCTCCCCAAGAACGTCCCCCACTTTTGGGCTGTCTGATGAGTCTGTGGGCGGAGCGGGGTGGTGGGAGCAGGCTCGCCTTTGCAGGGTGTGGCTGCATGATCACTAGCACTGCCATTACCAAGTGCCCGGAGCCGTCCGTACAAGTGTGGTGCCTACCTTTTTTTGCTAATCCAGTGTGACATCTGAAGTGCTACCATTAAAGCTCATTCCTTTGGTTAGAGATGGCCCTCTGTAGAATTTTTCTTAACATCTGAATATCCTTGGATGAAAACTTGGGAGCAAGGGACAGGTGGTAAAGTGGAATGAGATCTGGCTTTAAAATTAGGCAGACCTGAATTAAAATCTTGTCTTCACCACCTACTAGCTCTATGACTGTGAGGAGTTACTTCGCCTCCCTGAGCTTTAGTTTCTACATCATTAAAATGGGACCATAGTAGTACCTACCTCATACAGTTATTTCAAGGATTAGCAAAAAAAGGTAGGTCATACAACTGCATGACACTTGGTGATGGCAGCACTAGTGATTATGTAGCCCCCCAACAAGGTGAGCCTGCTGCCACCATCCCCCCACTCCACCCACCCATTCATCAGACATACCTGGGCGGGCCACCATCTCTGGGCCAGCCCAGCCCCCACAGCCCCCATGGTGTCACTAGAACCCACTGAGGGGCCGCAGCTAGGGGTCCTGACTCCCATCTCTCCATCACAGCATTCTTCTGGATGAGGAGGGCCATATCAAACTAACTGGTGAGCGGAGGGCGCCTCCCCCCTCGGGCCCTAGGCGGGAGGTAGAATGGACTGCTGGTGGGTCTGGGCTGAGTGCAAGGGGTTCATCCCTCCTGAGAGGTTGTACCAGTCCCTGGGAGATGGTCATAAGCCCAGGCCACAGACTTGGAATGCCCTGGGTTTGATCCCAGCTCCCTGCTTTGCTGGCTACATAACCTTGGGCAAGTCGCCTAACCTCTCTGGACCTCAGCTTCCTCCTGAGTGTCATAAGGCGATGCCCTCAGGCCCCTGGGGCAGGGAGTTGGGTTTGTGATGGTTGGCAGTGAGGAAAGCGGTCATCCCTGAAGTTGTGTCTTCTTGCCCTCCTTGATGCAGACTTCGGCCTGAGCAAGGAGGCCATTGACCATGAGAAGAAGGCCTACTCCTTCTGCGGGACAGTGGAGTACATGGCCCCCGAGGTCGTCAACCGCCAGGGCCACAGCCACAGTGCAGACTGGTGGTCCTATGGGGTGTTGATGGTAAGCACCCAGGCAGGAGTGAAGGATCCAGCCCAGCCTCAGACCTCAGTTTACTTAGCTGTGCAGTAAGGGAGTTGGTCTCTCAGGCGCTCCCCTCTCTTCTCACACCCAAGCTGGTCTCACCCTCACCCAGCTGCAGTTTCCTGCCTTGGAAGGACCCCAGGCTTGCCTCCACCTGGTGCACTCCTGACCTGAAACTTGTCCTCTCCCCAGCCTGGGGCCCCTAGTGCTGCTCCTTGTGGTCTGGGTTGGCAGATGGGAGAAGGACAGACACATTTCTTGCTCTGGGTAGACTTGCACTCCCAACAGGCCAGTAAGAATACTGGGAATGGAACAGAGTGGCCTAGTGGATACCACTGGGGAAGGAGACTGGGGGAGTGGGCAGCAGGAACTGGAGCCTGAATAGACCCTTGTCCTTGGCAGTTTGAGATGCTGACAGGCTCCCTGCCCTTCCAGGGGAAGGACCGGAAGGACACCATGACACTGATTCTGAAGTAAGCACCAGCCCTTCCCTAGTACCTTGGGATCCCCTCCAACTCCAGTTGGGACATAGTAATACCCTGCACCTGCCTCAGATCCCCTCATTAGTAAGACCTCCTGTGGGTTAAGCATCGTGCTTTCCAGGGCCCCCTTTTCATCCACCAGACTTGTGGGAGGGGACCCCTGAAGCCTCTGGGAGGAGAGTTAGTGGATGGCTTATCTGGAGACTAGACCTGGACGAAAAGACGGAGGGGAGACGGGGCCTCTTGGGCAGGGCTCAGTTCTCATGAGACCCCGGGGCTGTTTCAGGGCAAAGCTAGGCATGCCCCAGTTTCTGAGCACGGAAGCCCAGAGCCTCCTGCGGGCCCTGTTCAAGCGGAATCCTGCCAACCGTCTCGGTAAGCAGCCCTAGTTCAGGAGGTGACGTGGTGGTGGGGAGCAGGGTACAGCTGCAGCCTCGGCCATGGGGCCACATCTGGGGCTGAAAGGGGCCGTTGTCCTTTGTGTGGGTAGACAATGCTGCTGGCCACCCTGCTTTCTGGCTCCATGTATGGAGTTGGTGGGGGGTGACCTGTGTGTAGGGGAAGGGCAGGAACTGAGTCATCCCCACTCTCCCTGGGGACAAGGACAGAGCCCCCACACAGCTTCTCTGCCAAGGCTGCTGGAACAAGAGAAATGCAGTGAGCTCAGGAGTCAGAAGGCCCAGGTCCCATTTCCGTCCCTGTATTAGGTCCCACTGGCTGGCATACAGTAGGCCCTTCATAAATATTTGTCAAGTGAATGAATGCCATTTATGAAGTGAGTGACCTTAGGCAGGTGACTTCACCTCCCTGAGCCCTAGCTTTTTTGTTTCAGTTGGAGATGCTGATCCCAAGCTAGCTCGCGGGGCTGTGTTGATTAAATGAAACTGCATGAACATGCCTGGCATGTAGTAGGTGCTCAATACCTGCTGGCTTACTTGGCTCCTGGGTTCACCTGGACCATGACCGGATTTGTAAAGCCCAGTCCAGGCCCCTGAGGTCGAACGGAGTGAGAGCCCATCTCATGGTTGAAAGGGCAATGGGATAAGAGCAACAGTGATGAGGCCTGGGTTGGGTAAGGTGTGGGGGCCCCCTGGAGACCTCGGAACAAGTCCAGCCTCTTTCCTGACTGTGTGGCCTTGAACAAGTTGCCTGGCCTCTCTGGCTCTTCCTTCTCCCATTAATACACTGGAGCTTGATCATAAGGGGCTCTAGAAAGTAGAAACAATAGGCAAGAGTAGTTGGGGCAATGGCTGAGTGGATTTAGGGCAGGGCAATCCCTTCCTTCCTCCCTGCTCCAGCCCACTGTGAGGCCACTCAGCAGGCAGGGTGGTGTCTGGGGGGCTGTCCATGGGCAAGCCCCTCATCTGGACTCTTGCAGGCTCCGGCCCTGACGGGGCAGAGGAAATCAAGCGGCATGTCTTCTACTCCACCATTGACTGGAATGTGAGTGTGTCTGTCCACTCCCCGGGCCCTGGCCAGGGCTTCAGTAGGTTTGGGAAAGGTGGTGGGAGGGGTCCTCTGCTAACTAGGGCTTTGGATACTGGAGCAGAAGGTGATAGAATGGCCTTAGAGGCAGGGGCTGGCCTCCTGGAGAGCAAGGTGTATGCCCGTGTCTGCTGGGCGTTGTAGCCTGTGCTCCAGACCCGTTACCTCCCCCTGCACGGGCTCCTGGCAGGCCGTGGGGGTGCCCAAAGTGACCTGAGCACCTGCCCTGCCTTGCAGAAGCTGTACCGTCGGGAGATCAAGCCACCCTTCAAGCCAGCTGTGGCTCAACCTGATGACACCTTCTACTTTGACACAGAGTTCACATCCCGCACACCCAAGGGTGCGTTCCCTTATCTGGGTTTGTCTGTCTTGGGCTGGTACAGAAGGGAAGCAGGGAGTCCGGGGCACCTTGGGATGCAGAGCTGGTCAGAGACGCTGGCAGGCCCAGGTGCGTGGGCAGGCAGGCGGGTGAGTTTCTGGCTCCACGGGACTCTAACTCTTTGTCTCGGTCTCACTCTGGCAGACTCTCCCACTCCAGCGCTCTGTGGACCTCTCTGTGTCTAAGTGAGGGAGTGGGGGGTGAGTGGGTGGGTGAGGCTACAGTAGGAAAGTCAGGACCCCTGCCCTGGGCGTCTTTCAGCCCACTGGGAAGACCAAGCATATCAGGCTCACACTCACATCAGGGCTAAAGAATCCGACCCAGCAAAGCTGTGTGGTGGAGACAGTCTAGAGAGCAGAGGTGATGGTGCCCACAGGTCAGGGGCAAGTGTAGGAATTGGCTTTAGATGGTCTGACTGCTGGGCCTCAGTGTGCTCATCTGGAACATGGGCACAGCCACAGACCCACTCGTTTCCTAGGGTTGCTGCGAGAAGCCAATGAGGGGCTTCTGGAAGGGAGCTCGGTGAATCCTGACTTTTTAAACCAGCTATTGGTGCTAGTTCTTGGAGGGCAGGTTTTAGCAGTGGGGTGCTTTCTCGTTGCATCATGCACATGTCTGTTGACAGGGAGCTCAGCACTTCTCAAGAAGTCTGTCTCGTCTTTGTTCATTTATCTGAAAAATAGGTACTGGTCGTTCCTTTGTGCCAATTGTGGGGAGAATGATGGTGAACAGGACAGACCCACGCTCACCCTCCTATGCCCAGGCTGTAGTGGAGGGAGAGGCATGAGGCCAGCTCCTGGGCATTGTGACAGGTGCAGCCCCATAGGGGCGAGGGGCCAGAGCAGCGGCATCAGGCAAGGCTTCTCAGAGGACAGGACTTGTATGCTGAGCCTTGCAGGGTGGACAAGGAGTGGATTATCTAGTCCGAGGGAACAGCGCGTGCAGTGGTTCAGAGACTCCTTCCTTTAAGGAACTGAGAAGTCCAGCATGACTGAGTTGTGGAGTCGGGGGAGAGGATGCTAAGAGGTCAACAGGGACCAGATCACAAGCACCTCAGTTGCCAGGCCAAGGAGTTGGACTTTATCGTGAGGGCAGAGGAGAGCATTTGAAGGTGTAAGCAGGGTGGCAGTGTGGTCAGATTTGTGGTCGGAACCTTCCCTTTGGCTGCTGCACAGAGGAGGGGCCTGAAGGGGCAGCACACCTGAGGCCAGGAGGCTCCAGCAAGAGCTGAAGTGTCTGGGCCTGGGCTGGGGCCTTCATGTTCCTAGTATGTCAGGACTGGGCTGGTCTAAATACACATTATGCATGTGCTCACAGGCCTGGGGCAGATGGGCCCTGCCCAAGGTCCTACCACAGCCGTTTGCTGGGCTGCCTCAGGTTTAGGGACACCTCCTCAGGCTCTCATCCCTCTCCCACCCCTACAGACTCCCCGGGCATACCCCCTAGTGCTGGTGCCCATCAGCTGTTCCGTGGCTTCAGCTTCGTGGCCAGTGGCCTGATGGAGGACGACGGCAAGCCTCGGGCCACACAGACACCGCTGCACTCGGTGGTCCAGGTGAGCCGGGCAGGGGACTGCTGCTCAGTTGTCCTCTTCCACCTAGAAGCCACAAGCCAGAGCAGCTGAGAACACAGGCTCTGTTCAATCCTGGTTCAAACCCTGAGGCCACTGCAGGGCCAGTAGATCCTCCAACCTCTCTGAGCCTGTTTCCCCATTTGTAAACACAGGCGATGGTGTCTGCCTCACACAGTGGCTCTGAGGACTGGATTACCACGTGGATGTAAAGTTCCTGCACGGGGCCAGGGGTCCCCAGGATGATGGGCAGGGAATGGCTGACAGGGCCCTGAGTGGGAGATGAGTGGTAGGGGGCTCATGTCTCCTCACACCTGTCCCCCAGCTTGTACACTTGCACTGCTCCATGGGAAACTGAGAGTTGAAAGGCAAGAAAGTAGACTCTGGAGCCCATTGCCTGGGTTCTGATCTTACAAAGTAAGGGACTCTGGATGAGCCACTTACTCTCTCTCAGTGTCTCAGTTATCTCATCTGTAAAATGGGGGTAATGATAGAGCCTTTCTTCATTGTTGCGAGGATTACGAGTTAACATGTATAATGTTGAGGTGACCGTATAGTTTATTCTCCAAACTGGGACGTCTTTGTCTAGGACAGACGTTAAACCAGATGACTGCTGGGCCAACAGACCCAAACTAGGGTTGTCCAAGGCAAACGGGATGTGTGGTTGCCCATGAAAAGTGCTTAGAATAGTGCATGGCAAACACTAAGCACCAAATGCAAGCATTTGCTATTCTAATGCCTCAGAACATTGAAACACTCAACACCCTACACTCTATGAGGTGGGCTGTGACACCCTAGAAGGAGGAGGCAACTCAGCCAGGGCCACAGTAAGTGGCAGAGCTGGGACCCAACTCAGGGCTGTTGTGTACCTCCCAGGCCTGCCTGGGCTCCTCAGAACCACAAACCTCTCGATGCATGTGTTGTGGCTCTGTTACCAGCACGCTGCAACCACCCTCTGACCACAGACTACATCCCAGGCTGGCTGGGAGCCAGGGAGTCTGCCCAGCATATGGTAAGAAACTGAGGCTCAAAGAGGGGCAGGTTCTTTCCCAAGGTCACACAGCCAGTGCTGTACCCAAGGCCTCCTGGCTCTTGCTTATACCCATCTCCACTGTACCAAGACCTTGGGCACTGGGAGATAACCCCTGGCATTGTGGAGCAGGGGTCAACCTCAGCTCTTGGTTTCCTTCAGCAACTCCACGGGAAGAACCTGGTTTTTAGCGATGGCTACGTGGTAAAGGAGACGATTGGTGTGGGCTCCTACTCCGTGTGTAAACGCTGTGTGCACAAGGCTACCAATATGGAGTACGCTGTCAAGGTGGGCCTCCCAAACATGTCTTGCTTGGGTAGGGCTGGTGGTGAAGCCACTATAGCCAGGTCCTTTTGCAGGGAGGGTTGGTGCCCAAGGCTCTGTGGATCAGTGAAGGGGGTGCAGCTAAGACCCCTGGGCCCTGCAGTGTGGACTCCATGGCAGGGAGGAACTTTGGAATCTGTCCTGTCACTGCCACGTGCACTCCGTTTTCCTCAGGTCATTGACAAGAGCAAGCGGGACCCCTCAGAAGAGATCGAGATTCTTTTGCGGTATGGGCAGCATCCCAACATCATCACCCTGAAAGATGTGAGTGTGGGTTCTTGACACTGGGGTGGGGATTGGGGCACTCAGTCATCTAGGATTTTGTCTCAGGGTTCTATTCTTTTGACCTCTGATCCTCCTCCCACAGCTCATGGGGAGCGGGAGGAGGACCCGTGTTCCTGCTGGTCTGGCCACACCCCAAGGACTCTACAGCCCAGACTTGAGCATTCTCTGAGAGCCAGTGCCCCTTAAGGAGCCAGTGGCAGTGCCAGCATCCCCTTGCCCAGGGAGGATAGAGGTCCAGAGAGGGAAGCCCCTGCCAGGGCCACTAAAGCACAGAGCAGAACACATCCCAAGGCCCCAGCATTCTGGGCAGGGTCATTCTGCTGGTGAGCTGGTGACCGAGGGGCCCAGGCCTGGTGCTCTGGGCACGGAGCGGGCTTGATCGTGAAATCTCTTGCAGGTGTACGATGATGGCAAACACGTGTACCTGGTGACAGAGCTGATGCGGGGCGGGGAGCTGCTAGACAAGATCCTACGGCAAAAGTTCTTCTCAGAGCGGGAGGCCAGCTTCGTCCTGCACACCATCAGCAAGACTGTGGAGTATCTGCACTCGCAGGGCGTAAGTCTAGGGCAGGGACTGGGGACGAGGGGTGTGCTGCCAAGGATCATACCATCAGCAGAATGTAAGAACCATGGGCTGAAGTAGACAGCAGAAGTCCCCAGCCAAACATGGGGCTACAGATGAGTGGGTGGAAGAGCAGGCAGGCATGTGGGTAGGTAGATGGATGAGTGGAAGGAAGGAAAGGAAAGGAGGGAGAGAGAGAGAAGAGATGGAAAGAAGGAGAAGGGATAGATGAGGCCGAATTGTGGAAAAGAACATTTATAAGTAACAACAATATGCCAGGCACCATTCTAAGTTCTACATTATCTCACTTGATTTTCGTAACAACCCTATGAGGTAGGTACTATTATTGGCCCCACTTTACAGATAAGACTGAGGCTCAGAGATATGAGGTCACTTGCCCAAGGCCACATAGCTAAGGAAGGATGGAGCCAGAATGCCAGGCAGGGGTATTTGGGCGAAGGGAGCTGCAGGGTCACCGTGGGGCTTGACGGAGTTGAATTTGGCTGTGGGTTCTGCTGTTAGGGCAGAGGAGCGGATGCACAAGCTGCCAGAAACACAGTAGGTGCTGTAGAAGAGGCATTGGTCCAAGCAGTAGAACTTGACCTTTATTATACAAGCTAAGTAAGTGCTGAACAGCCTTGGGCCAAGGTCAGCAAAGCTGAAAGGAGGTAGACATGTCCTTTACAATGTATTAAAGCCGCAAGCAGTGGAGTTAGGGTGAGTTTCTTTCTGCATGAGGAGATGTTTTAGGGTACTTCTAGCCAGACAGTGTGGGGGTTAAGAATGCAGGCTGTGTCCTGATGCGTGCTACAACATGAATGAACCTTGAAAACATTATTGTGAATGAAATTAGTCAGTTGCAAAAGGACAAATACTGTATGACCTCACTTACATGAAATAAGCAAAGTTATAGAAACCAGAAATTATTAGTGGTTACCAAGGGTGGAAGGGAGGAGGGGGAAACGGGGAGTCCTTGCTTCGGGGGCACTGAGTTTATGTTTAATGGTGGTGGAATACTTTGGAAAGGGGTAGCGAGAATGGTAGTGCAACTTGAAGAATGTGATCAGTGTCACTGAGTTATACATGTAGAAATTGTTGAATTGGTGTATGTTGTGTATATTTTCACAATAGAAAAAAATGAGAAATAAAAAAGAATGCAGGCTCTGAAATCTGACTGTCTGCATCCAAGTCCTGGCTTCTTCACTTACCTGTGTGAGATTGGGCAAACCACTTCACCTCTCTGAGCCATTTCCTCATCTGCAAACTCATGATAATGAGAGCTGCCACCTCACAGGGTGGTTGTGAGGATGAAGCGAGGTCCTGCGCCTGGGAAGGCACCTGATCCACGCAGGCTTGTCGTAAATGCCACATAAACGTTAAAGGGGGAAATAGGATGAGACCATTGCCATGTATGTCTCTCTTTCTAAAGTATTTTATTATAGAAATTTTTAAATATCTACAAAACCATAAAGAATAGTATAATGGAACCCCATATACCCATCACCCAGACTTAAAAATTGTCAAGATTTTTACCACACTTGCTTCATTCCCTACCCACCCCCTTTTTTTGTTGTTGCTGAATGAAGTATTTTTCCCAACTTTTTGTTGAGGAAAAAGTTCAAACTTACAGAAAAGTTAAAAGAATAGTACAAAGAAAACCATTTATGTTCTAGATTCACCAAATTCATCAAATTAACAGTCTGCCACATTTGCCGTATCTCTCTGTCTCTCTCCTACAAATATATATTATTTTGCTGATGCATTTGAAAGGAAGTTGCAGGTGACACTTGGCCCGTAAATGCCTATAACTGAAGCATTTTAAAGCATGTCCTAGACCTCACATCCTCTTAGTCCTGTATCTACAACTCTAAAAATGGGGAACATTTTCTTTTCACAACAGCTAACAAAATGATATCTGACTTGTTTTCACATAGTACCTGTCTATAGACATGTATCCCCTATTGTTTCAAAAATGCCTTTACAGTTGGTTTATTGGAATCAGGACCCCTACAAGGCCACACGTTTCATTCAATTATTATATCCCTTACGTCTCTCTCTCTCTTTTTTTAAACTGAGGCAAATTTTGCATATAGTGAAATGCACAAATCTTAAGTGCACAGTTTGATGAGTTATGTTAAACGTGCACATCATGTAAGACCCCCTTTTTAAATGCCACTGCCTTGTGTGATTTGTGTCATTCTCCGTTTGTCTGTTTGCTTCCTTGTGGTGTCATTTAAATCCTTCCTCTATGGCCTGTATTTGTTGTCAATTACAAGTTACTCTAAAGTCCTAATTAGATTGAGCTTCAACTTTTTTTTTAGTGGGGCGGGGTGTTCAGAACACTTCAGAGGAGGTGCAGAGTGCTTCATAGTGCATCATATCAGCGAGGACACCATGTCTCGTTGCCCCCATTAGTGATGTCAGGTGGTGACAGCCCGACTCCTTCACTGAAAACATCCTCATCAACCTTTCATCTAATGGTTTCATCCTTTGAGCCTCTTGGGCTGGATCAATTATTTCATTAGGGTTTGCAAAATGTCAATGTCTAATTCTGTCCAATTTATTAGAGGGAATTCTTTTGTAAAAAAGAACTTTATCTCATAACCAGAACTTCAGTTTGGTTACCACGTGTGCTTTTAACAGTCACATTTGAAGTGGCTTTGGTTTTTGCAATGGCCGGTGTGAACAGACTAATATTTAAACGTGTCCAAGTCAGACAGTAAATGTGTTTCCTTTTCCTGTTTTGTTCCCAAGTGAGTACTAGTTAAAGTTACCCCCAAGAAGGCTTAGAGGAAAGAGCCGGAACCAGTGAGTTACCAGTGGGTCACCTGAGGCTCAAAGCAAGGAAGAATTTGGTATAATGGGGGCTGCATCCAAAGGTGGTGAGCCCTCTCCACCAGAGGTATGCAAGCTCCAAGTAAGGACAGTCACTTGGTGGGGATGTTGTTGGAAGAACTTTTCTCTTTCCCAAAGCCAAGAGTCTATGATTCTCCAAAGTTTCTGGCGCTTTCCAAATCCCAGGGGCAGATGATGAGGAAATGGGGAAGCTTTTCTTGTTGAGGTATCTGGAAGGAGATCTTCTGGGCTGATTTGGCATCAGCAGTAGCTGTGGTCTAAAAGCTGGGAATCCCACAGGAGCTGAGAGATGGGAAGGGTGACCAGGGACCTGGGACCACTGGGGCCCCTTTTTGTTTTGATGTTATCTTTTTATAGAAGTATAACATCAATGCAGAAAAGTGCACAAATCATAATGTACAAGTAAGTCAATAAGTTTCCAAAAAGTGAGTACAACCATGTAAATAGCACCCAGATCAAGAAAAGAAGCACTTCCAGTTCCTCCAAAACTTCCTCGTGCCCCTTCCAGTCCCGGCCCCCACCGAAGGGTAACCATTCCCAGCTGACTTTGTGTCTGGCTTCTGTTGCTCAGCATCATCTCTGAGATTCATCCATATTGTTGTATGTGGCTGCAGTTATTCCTTCTCATTGCTTGTAGTATTCTGCTGTATGAACAGACCATGATTTAATTGCCCATTCTATTATTGATGGACATTAGGTTGTTACCAGTTGGTGACTATTACAAATAATGCTGCTGTGACATTCTTGTACTTGCCTTTTGGTGAATATGTGTACATTTTTATGTTGGGTGTGTATCTAGGAGTGGAACTGCTGGGTCATAGTGTATATGTATGTTCATTTTTAGTAGATATTGCCAAACAGTTTTCCGATGTAGTTTTATCAGTTTATGCTCCCACCACAAGTGTCTGAGGGTTCTGGTACTTACCAACGCTTGGTATGTTCTGCATCTTTAATCATAGTCCTTCTGGTAAGTGTGAAGCGGTATCTCATTGTGGTTTTAATTTGCATTTCCCTGTTGACTAATGAGGTTGAACACCTCTTTGAGTGTTCATTGGCTGTTTGGACAGTCTCTTTATGAAATGCCTGTTCAAGTCTTTTGTCCGTTTTTGATTGGGTTGTCTGCCTTTTTCATATTATTTTGCAGGAGTTCAATATGTGGAGCCCTTTGACGTCCCCAGCCCCTCCTGGTTGTTTCTATTATGGTCCCATCATGCCGGTTTGAGAACAGCCTTTGAGTCCGTGGACTCACTAGACAGTCAGCCCCAGGCTTTGGTTTCTCTGTTTAACTAGATCATTCACATAGAACAACTTCACTTTTTTTTTTTTCTTTTTCTCCTGACTGGTCACAGGCTCCTAAATGTACATCCTCTGGTGATGCTGATGATGGCAATGCTGCTGCTGCTGCTGGCAGTTAACACCATACAGCACAGCCAGTCAGGGTTCTAAGCACTTTACACATTCACCCATTTAATAGTTCCAACAGGCCTATGAAAAGGATCCTGTTATTATCCGCATTTTATAAGTAAGGGAACTGAGGCCCGGGGAGCTTAAGTAATTTGCCCGAAATCTCATCACTAGTCTAGGTCCAGAGTCTGAGCTTTTAACTTGTGCATGTGATTAGATGCTGCCTTAGACAAGAAGTAATTTCTTGTCCTCATTTTTAAATGCTTCTTAACAAGCAGTCACTGTCTTAACATCCACCTTGGTGGTAGGGCTCAACCCCAGGCAGTTCTGGAGTTACTGTGACAACCCCTACCATTTCCTAAGCCCTGTGCTGAACATTCCTAGTGCACTAACTCATATGCTCGTTCCTGTAATCCTGGGGGCTGAGCTCCTATCAGCCCCATTTGATAGATGAGAAAACTGACAGGTTAAGTGACATGCCCAAGGCCATGCAGCTACTAATGGTGAAGGCAGGATTCACACTCTGGCCTGCCCGACAGCACGCCTGAAATCACAACCAGAGGTCACAGGCTGTTGACTCAGTGGTTGCATTTGGCTGCAGATAAGTTTTGTTTGGCTTGCAAGGTGTGGGGTTTTTATGTAACTTGGCTGCTTTCGAAAAACTCGGCCTGAGTCCCTCCATGGTGACTATCAGGCCGGTGCTGTGTCGTGCCTGCCCCCTTTAGATGGGGCCCACACAGCCTGGCTTCACTCATTCCTCGCCCAACCTGTTGCACTTCCCAGTGCTGTGAGATGTGAGAATATGCCCTCCTTACCCCCACCTACACACACCTGGGGACAAGTATCAGAATCACCTGGGTGGGGGGGAGCTTTTCAAGCTGTGCTGACCCCACTGTCCTAATATTCTGACACCTGCCATAATGAGCCACAGTTACCTGTGAGAGTTTGTCGTTTTCCTATGTTGCGTTAGGGCAGGATAAAGGTTGAAAACTGCCATATCCCTGTCTCCAAAAAATGTCATTGGTGCCACACTAAACTGGAAAGATTGTGGAATTAAGGTCAAAACTTGCCACGTGCAAGCCAATGCTCCTCTCAGCGCCTCGGTTTCCTCCTGTGTATATGGAGCCAGTAACCCCTGCCCTGCCCACTTACTGAGGTGGAATGAGATCGTGTCCAGGAAAGCACTCTGTAAACAGAGGAGATCACTTGTACAGGGTCGTTGGTGTCCTCAACCACACTGAGCAACCCTGACCTCTGGAAGCTTGCCCTCTGTGGGGAAACAGAAGAGTCTCCATTCCAGGGGCCTGGGCCATACAGTTGTATTAGGAAGGAGAGAGCCCAAGGGGGTGGGCAGATGCTGCCCAGGAAAGGGCTCCTCCAGGACTTAGGTACAATTCCCAGTGTGCCTCTGGGGCCACCCTGCCAACGTAGCCCTTTCCTCCTCGTCAGCCTGGCACTCTTCCCTCTGCAGAAGTAGACCGTGTGGGCAGCGGCTGGAGGGGTCGGGGCTCAGCTGGGGCTATGAAAGAATCTCCTCTTCAAAGCTAACCAATCTGCGAGACTCAACTAATCTAACCTGCGAGGCCTCTGCATGTTCCAGAGGTCTAATCCATTAATTTATTGCACACGTGTTCACTTAGAACTTACTCTGTGCTAGGTCCTGTGCTGGTTGCTGGAGGTGAACAGGTGTTCCCCAGTCAGACACGGTATGGTTATGGAGAAGGAATCCCCAGTGGCCGAGCTCATGGTGCCTGAAGGGAGGTGGTGGACAATGAGGCTGGAACGGATGGCTGAGCCTTGGAACTTTGGGTTTTATCTTGAAGGCATTAGGGAGCCACTGAAGATTTTTGACCAAGAAATAATGTGATTTAATCATCATGTCAGTCACTTAGGCAATAAATAATAGTCTCTGAGCTAAGGCATCAATGGGTTTGAAGTTACCAGGTGAAAGCAGAATAGACAGGACTTGGCACTGATGGATTGAGCTGGGAGAGAAGGAGAAATTGGGAGATGCCTAGGGAGGTACCATTAGCTCATGGGAGGAAAAGTAGGAGGGGGGAACATGATTAATTTTGTCTGGGATGTGTTGAGTCTGAAGCTCTGTGGAACATCCAGCAGTTGCTGACTGGAAGGCAACTGGACTCAGGAAAGGTCTGGGCTGGGGTCAGAGATCTGAGAGTTGTCAATAGGTGATAGAGGAGTGACCGTGAATAGAACAGCACAGAGGGAGAGAGGAGAGTGAGAAGTGGAGTGGTTCAGTTCCCTTGGGTTACAGAGGAGCAGACAGGTCCAGAGGAAAGTCATGTGCTTACAGCCTCAGTAACAGGTGTCGTTCATGTATTCATTCAACAAACATTTGTAGAGTATCTACGATGTGCTAGGTACTATTATAAGTGCTTGGATACAGTGAGCAAACACTCATGGAGCAAAATACTCATGGAGCTTACATTGCAATGGGCAGAGTCAGAAATAGGTAAATGTTATGTCAAGTGGTAGTAAATGCTATGGATAAAAATACAGCAGGATAAGAGACTAAGGAGCACTAGGGGGTGGTTCCTATTTCACATGGGATGATCAGGGAAGGCCTCACTGATAAAGTGACATTTGAACTCAGACCTGAAAGAAGCAAGAGAATGAGCCAGGCAGATACCTGAGAGAAGAGTTTTACAGGAAGAGAGAAAGTGCAAGTGCAAAGACCCTGAGGCAGGAGTATGCCTGGCATGTTGAAGGAAGAGCAGAGAGGCTGGTGTGACTGAAGCAGACTGAGCAACGGGGAGAGGTAGAAGACCAGAGAGGGCAACAGATGTGGACGAGGGGCAGTGGAGAAGTCAGATAGGGCCACACAGGGCACTGGAAGGGCTTCTCCTCTTGAGAGGGGAAGGCTTGGAGGGTTTCAAGCCAGAGAGTGACATGATCTGACTTCTTCATTGAGAATAGACTATAGGAGGAGAGGGCAGAAACTTCCTGGAGGTGGTTGCCATAATCCAGGGGAGAGATGATAGTGGCTGGGACCAGAGTGCTGCCAGTAGAGGAGCTGAGAAATGGTTGGGCTCTGGATATATTTTAATGGTAGACATAACAGAGTTTGCTGATGGATTGATTGAGGGATATGAGAAAAAAGAGGAATCAAGAATGATGTTATCTGGGGTCTTAAAAGCCTATGAGTGGCCATCTAAGATACTCCACTGGTCTCACCCCTTCAGGAGCAAGGAAGAATGAAGAGAACTAAAGATACAAGGGAAAGATTAGTCCAAAGGGCTAATGGACCCCAACTACCACAGCCTCCACCAGACTGAGTCCAGCACAACTAGATGGTGCCTGGCTACCACCACTGACTGCTCTGACAGGGATCACAACAGAGGGTCCCGGACAGAGCTGGACAAAAATGTAGAACAAAATTCAGACTCACAAGAAGAGACCAGACTTGCTAGCCTGACAGAGACTGGAGAAACCCTGAGAGTATGGCTCCCGGACACCCTTTTAGCTCAGTACTGAAGTCACTCCTGAGGTTCACCCTTCATCCAAAGATTAGACAGACCCATAAAACAAAACAAGACTAAAGGGGCACACCAGCCCAGGGGCAAGGACGAGAAGGTAGGAGGGGACAAGAAAGCTGGTAGTAGGAACCCAAGGTCGAGAAGGGAGAGTGTTGACATATTGTGGGGTTGTTAACAGATGACATAAAACAATATGTGTACCGTTTAATGAGAAGCTAGTTCTGTAAGGCTTCATCTGAAGTACAATAAAAAAAAAAGAGAGAGAGAGAAAAGAATTCTAGTCCCTGTCCTGTAGCTAGGAGCCCTGGTGGCACAGTGGTTAAAAGCGTTCGGCTGCTAACTGAAAGGTCAGCGGTTTGAACCCAAAAAAATAGAATGGCTCTAATGGTTGTGTAACATGAATGTAATTAATGTCACTAAATTGTACATGTAAAAAATGTTGAAATGGCCAATTTTTGTCATATATATATGCACCATGATAAAAAAAATAATTAATTAAAAAAAAAGAATGACCCTAAGATTTTGGTCTGAGCAACAGGAAAGATGGAGTTGCCATTAGGTAAGGCTGTGTGACCAGCAGATCTGAGGGGAGAATAGAGTTCAGTTTTGAACAGGTACCTCATAGACATCTACACAAAAATTTCAAGTAGGTCTTTCCAGTAGCACACTGGCTCCCGTTTCAGCCCCTTACCCTCCTTTTAGGTTCTGGTCCTTCTACCCCCTCCCTGGGGCCCTGTCTTCCCAACCTCTCCATCCCTGGCAGTGACCTGGATCACTAGCAGCCCCTCCGCGTTGAGAACTGACCCCAGCCCTCTGCCCGCAGGTTGTGCACAGGGACCTCAAGCCCAGCAACATCCTGTATGTGGACGAGTCTGGGAACCCCGAGTGCCTGCGTATCTGTGACTTCGGCTTTGCTAAGCAACTGCGGGCTGAGAATGGGCTCCTCATGACACCTTGCTACACTGCCAACTTCGTGGCCCCTGAGGTGAGTGGCCTGGCCTCCTCAGGTGCAAGAGTGAGGGGGCCTAGCATCAGAGCCCTTGTGCCCCCTTCCAAAGGCACCACGTAGATCCAAGACTCCAGTTCTTGTGGCCTTGGCCCAGGCCCCAAGGGAGGATCCAGCACGTGGCTGGGACTCTTGCCACACGGGGTCACCTGCCACTGCCTCTCAGACTAACCTCCCTGCCAGGTGCTGAAGCGCCAGGGCTATGATGAGGGCTGCGACATCTGGAGCCTGGGCATTCTGTTATACACCATGCTGGCGGGGTGAGTGTCCCAGCTGGGCTCCCCTCCCCACCCCACACTCCTTTTCCAGCCCTAGTGTTCAGAGGGTGATGGTGCTTGTCTGATGGGAGAGATTCGGCCCTGCCCTCAGAAGGGTCCAAGGATGGAGACATGGCCCTGCCTTTGGGAGCTCCACCTTGAGGAGGAAGATGCTGCCCTTGGGAGTACCCATTTGGAGGGGGAGATACACCCCTTTCACCCCCACCCTCAGAATTGAGGCCAAGGCTAAGCATGTGGGCTTTTCCCCAGATACACTCCATTTGCCAACGGGCCCAGTGACACACCAGAGGAAATCCTGACACGGATCGGCAGTGGGAAGTTCACCCTCAGTGGGGGAAACTGGAACACAGTTTCAGAAACAGCCAAGGTGAGTCTGGAGGCCTGGACTGGGCTCATTTAAGGGGGATGCAGCATCCCATCTCAGGGCTTCAAGTAGTTGATGAACAGGTGGCCTCATTTCTCCAAGCAGAATGTTCTACAAATCCCTATTGCTCTATTTCTCCAAGTAGAAGATTCCCAGGCAGACCACCACCCACCTCCTACCCCTACCTTGCTGATCACTCAGTGATCATTCACTGGGTCTTCCCGTGTGTGGGGAACAGAGAGCTGCATCAGTGACAGGCGCTGCCTCATGAAGCATGGTGTGGTGAGAGATACAAGCTTGCATACAAGGAACAGAGATGCCAAGCAGCAGAGAAGGGTCCTGTTGGCCAGGGATACGGGCAATAGAGGCACAGAACAAAGTGACTGACTACACCAAGCAGAGAGGCCTTTTCAAAGGAGGTGACGTTTGAGCTTTCAATATTAGCAACAGTTTCCAGTTATTGGGAACTTCTCTACTAGGCACTGGAGCTGAGCCCTTTCTATACATTGTAAAGCAAGTATTGTCCCTATATTCAGAGAGAGAAGTGAGGCTTGAGAGTTGAAGTAACTTGCCCAGGGCACTCAGTTGATGAATGCAGGAGACAACTTTTGAACCCACTCTGCCTGACCCAAAACCCTAGGCTCTTAGCACCTTGCCACATAACTTCTTGAAGGTGAAGGAGAAAGAGAAGCATATTCTAGGAAGAAGTCTCTGCAGCAGCAAAGGCCCGTAGAAGGGAATGCATTGTCTAGGCTTGGGGAGACTGGAGAATTACAGGGACTATTACAAAGGTCTAGGCATTCCCTGTCAGTGGGGCACAACTGTCTACTTCCCCACTGACCTCTCCCATCAACCTCCTTGACCACTGTGTCCCTAGGACCTGGTGTCCAAGATGCTGCACGTGGACCCCCACCAGCGCCTCACAGCCAAGCAAGTCCTCCAGCACCCATGGATCACCCAGAAAGACAAGCTCCCCCAGAGCCAGCTGTCCCACCAGGACCTGCAGCTTGTAAAGGTATGGCCACCTCTAGCTGCTGAGCATTTGGGGGCTCAAGCCAGGGTTCCCATGGGCAGGGACTTGAGATGGTAGAGCCAAGAGATGCCTGTGCCAGGCACCTCAGGTGGGACAGAGGAAAAGAAGATACAGCCCTGCCCTCAGGGAGCCCCCAGTCATGTCAACGCTGCAGTCATGCGCCCCCAGTCCCCTGACCTTGAAAGGCCATGGGATGAGGTGGTTGGAACACAGGGAGGGGGTGGCCTGGCCCTGGAACACGCCCGTCTGATAAACTGCCCTCCCACCTTCCCTCCCAGGGAGCCATGGCAGCCACGTACTCCGCACTCAATAGCTCCAAGCCCACTCCGCAGCTGAAGCCCATTGAATCATCTATCCTGGCCCAGCGGCGGGTGAGGAAGCTGCCGTCCACCACCTTGTGAGGGGCCAGTGCATCCAGGCCGCAGGGCGGTGCTAGCTCAATGGAGGCAGCATACTGACCAGAGGGAGCAGGCCTGAGTCACAGGACCAGAGGGAGCTGGAGCCCCGAGGGTCCCAGGAAGCAGCCAGCCCAGATCACCCCCAGTGAGGGTGTGAGAAGTGCCTTCTCCTTCCCCAGGATGAACTCTTCTTGGCTCAGGCCCCGCTGGTTGCAGTTGATTCACTGTACAAACTCTTATCTTTTTTTAAAGGCAAAAAATGACATCGACCACGATGGATTTTTACAAGATCCATTTGCCTTTCTGGGAGCAAAAGTAGCCAGTGCAGCCCGGGAGGGGCACTGAGTCATGCTAGGGCTCTGTGTAACTGAGACTCCTTAGAGCAGCTTGGGGGGAACCCCCACAGTTGGCCGTCTGTAGCCATCTGCACACACCTCCGAGGCAGCCCGAGGCAGTCCAGCGTCACCTTCTGGAGCCTTTGGCTGTTTAGAACTCACTGTCCCCAGTCAGCTCCTTTTCCGTTCTGTTCTACTGGGGGGTCTGGAACCACATCCTGCTTGAGGAGAGGACCAAGGCCCCACCGACTCCCAGCTCCGGGCACCAGCATCCGCATCGGCCTTGCCAATGGGTCTGCTGTAGTCAGTTTGGGCTGTCCCAGGGGGAGGATCAGGAAAGCACTTTCTGGCGACTTCTGTTGGGGTCTGCCACAGGACAGAGTTCACAGGAGGCCAGTGGGGCAGGCCAGGGAGGGCAGGGGCTTTTTGTTTCAGTTTGTTTCATTTCTTCCTCAGCTGGTAACTCAGGGTTCATCTGTCCATGGCCTTTCTAATAAACTTACAGTTGAGTTGAAACTCATTGTCCATCACTTTTCATCCCCGAATTTACCCTCTCTCTGCTGTCAGGTGTCAAGGATTTGGCAGTGGTAAGAAACGGGCCAGGTCCAATTAGCCGAGCTACTTGGAGTGCGGGTCATCTGGGGAGGGTATGGGAATCCTGCTGGTCCTGCCCAGCCCGTTCCTGCCAAAGTTTCCATAACAGCGTTGATAGCAGTAATGGTAACATTAGCCACCAGTTACCGAGGGCCAGGCACCATGCCTGGGCTTTACGTGTGTATCTCATTTAATCTTAACCCTGTGAGGTGAGTGCTATTATATCATTTTCCCTGTTTTATAGATGGGGAAACTGAAGCTCAGGGGAATTAGATGCAACAAATATTTTCTGAACACCTCTTCTGGCCCTGCTCCAGATGCTGGAGTTAGAATGGTGAACAAGGTAGAGGTGGGTCTTACCTCCTAGTGGGAGAAACAGACAATTAGCAAACCCACGTCAACTACTGATAAGACATTCACAGCATTCACAGAGAGTTCAGTTGGGGTGAGGGATGGGGAGTGACTTCAGATGAGGTGGTCAGAGAAGGCCTCTCTCGGCGGGGGTGGGGGGGTGACCCGGAAGCTGAGATCTGAGTGGTGAGAAGGAGCTAGCCAATCTAAGACCAGGAGGCAGAGGGCAGAGTCAGGGCAGAGGCCCCAAAGGAGGAAACAAGCTGGCTGTGCTCAGGGACCAGAAAGGAGGCCAGTGTGGCCATAACCTCAGGATGAGAGGATTTACACAAGGTGAAGCTGGGAGGAAGGGCAAGGGCCAGTCATAATGGGCTTTGTAGGCCAGGGTAAGAAGTTAGGGCTTAACTGTTAGTGAGATGAAAGCCCTTGAAAGAATTTAATTAAGTGGGGAAATGACATGATTTTTTTGTTGTTGTTGAAAATACACAAGGCAAAACATACACCAATTCAACAATTTCTGTGTACAATAAGTGACATCTATTACACTCTTCAATGTGTGCAACCGTTCTCACCCTCCTTTTCCAATTTGTTCTCCCCTATTGACTAAACTCATTTCTCCCTAAGCTTCCTATCTGACCTTTTGAGTTGCTGTTAACAATTTGATTCCATATACTAAGTTTTTAAAAAAGAACACAAAGCTCACAGCAGATATTCTTTACTAGTTAAGCTAGACTGTGTTTGGTTTAAAGAAGGCTTCAGGGGTTATTTTTGGTTTATGGTTTAAGGGTTAAAGATTATCTGAGGGCAGTAGTTTCAGGGGCTTATCCAGCCTCAATGGCTCCAGGAAGTCTGGATTCCATGAGAGTTGAAGTTTACATTTTTAAAAAGATTGTTCTGACCGCTATATGGAGATTGACTGGGAGAGCAGAGGAGGTACAGGTTTACCAGGCCAGCAGCTACTGCAGTAGCCCAGACAAGAGATGTGGTGAAAGAGGAGGTGGGGGTCGGGGGGAGTGGGCAGGGTCAGGATGTACTTTGGAGGTAAAGTAGACAGCACTTGCTGAGAGTTTGGCTGTAGAGGATCAGAGAAAAAGGAGATTCAAGGAAATCTGTATTTTGGCTTGAGCAATTGGGTACTGAAATAGGGGAGAGTTGGGGAGGAGCAGGTTTGGGGGAAAATTTTAGAGTTTTATGGGAGATGCCTTTTAGATATCCCAATGGAGATGTCGAATAAGAGTTGTAATTAGAAGTTGGCATTCTGGGGAGAGAGCTTGTAGGAAGTTTGTAAAGCCAAGAGACTGGGCTTCTCAAAGCGTGGGTCATGGACCAGCAGCATTGGCATCATCTGGGAGCTTGTTAGAAATGCAGAATTTCAGGCCTATCCCTAAACCTGCTTAATCAGAATCTACATTTTAACAAGATCTGCATGTGATTTGTGTGTGCGTTGAAGTTTGAGAAGTCCTGTTTCAGAAACTGAGAACAGAGAAGAGGGGACCTGTGACTGAGCCCCGAGCACACTAGCATTTGGAGATGGAGCTGAGAAGGGAAAGCTGCAAAGGAGACTGGGATATAACAGCTGGTGAGGGAGGACTTGCCAGTCTGGCAAGATTCAAAGCCTTATGAACCAGGACCTTTGCTTCTGTGACTTCTCAGCCCTCTCCAGTTTACAGATAAAGCCAGGGTCTGCAGAAGTGAGTCAGTCCAGTTATGAGGGAAGGAGATTCTGACAATCGCAGCTCAGCTTTAGCTCTGGACTAAGCATGCTAGGCAGCCTCCCTGCAGGAGCAAGGAGGATGTGTTGGGAGACTAAAGGACTCCCCTAAACACCTGCTGACATACAGTCCTGAGCCTCTGTGTGTTTCACTTCTCTGACTTAGTTTCCCCATTTGTACAGTGAAACCAACATTTTCTTTCCCACCCACCACCCAAGGTTGTCTACCCTGGATCCATCACCCCAGCTGGAATAATCTGAGTGTCAGCCTGTCTCCTTCCCCTCATTCCCTGTATCCAGTCTGCCTCCTAAATATTTCCAGAGTCCATCCCCTCCTACCCATCCTCCCTACCATCCTCATATTTTTCTTTCCTCTTTTCAACTCCCTTCTCCTCACTGGTTTTCTCCAGTCTTTTGCTCCCCCAGCATCCTCCATTTAGAATCACAAATCTGCCCTGGCATCTGACCTGGAGCTTAGGCAGACAAGCCTGAAACTTGGTGTTCTGTGTGACGTGGCGCCCGCCGAGCCCCCAGCTCTCACCGCTTCTCTGCAGAGTCCCCAAACTGCCCACAAGTCGTGCTGCTCCCGCCACTGGGTTCCTGGCTAACTCCAACTTGTGCTTTAGGACAACTCAAGTAACGCCTCCAGGAAGCCTATTGGGACACCCCAGATTGGGTTGGGTGACTCACCTTGTGGATCTCCAAACGCCCCGTGCCCATCTTTTTGCACATCACACTGTTTTTGGAAACAGCTGGTGATGCGTATCTTCCCCACCAGTCTGTGAACCTGAGTCTGTGGGCGGTGTCTTTTTCATCTCTGTCTCTCAAGCTCCTAGCACTGGGCCTGATGCACAGTAGGTCCTGAGCTTGTGCCTGTTGAATAGGTGAATGAAAGAGCATGCAGGAGCAGTGGACTTGATGGTGCTGGGGGAAGCACAGCAAACTATGCCTGAAGAGCCGGAGCCTGGAAAGACATCTGAGGAGGAGGAAGGGAAACGGGTGCTCTGAGGCACAGGGCAGGTAATGCCTGGCCACAGGCACTAGGGGGAAGATTCAAGAAGCAGGAAATGGTGGGTGGGCGTGTAGGGCGGGAGTCCATAAGTGCTTTCTCAAATATTTCACCTCTCTGGGCCAGAGTGTCCCCACTTGCCAAATGGGGGTAATAATTCCTACCTATCTCACAGCATCACCTGAAGACCAACTGAGTGAGTGAATATAAACGTGTTCAGGAAGATAAAGAGAGCTGCTTGTACGATTAACCTTGTTCTAATTCTCATGGGATCAGGATGGCCCCCCAAGCACTCACTGGATTCCAGAAAAAGTTCCTAGCCAATAGCATCTCCAACAGGAATTTCCCTCCCTGGGTGCCAACTCCCTGGACAAAATCTACTAAGAAATAACCTGGCTTGGGGAAACAAAGTGTCAATCCAGATGTCCCCAGTTTCGAAGGTTACTCTTCCCTTTAATGCCCAAAAAATAATCCCTAGGTCCCCATCCTGTAGGATGTCCCCTCCCATGAATATTGGCTCCCATGTACTAAGCAAACGCTCACTATGTGCAGGTGCCAGGCTCCAAGGCCTTTCCATGCTCTATTCCATTTAATCCTCATGTGAGCAAATTGAGGCTCAGGAAGCAACTTGCCAACACATAGCTAAGAGGCAGAGCAGGAACTCAAATCGAGGTCTGTGTGATTCTGAAACTCATTGTTAACCAGCGTGCTGTCCTGCCTCACTGCTTCTGAGAATGCCCAAGACCTACTTACGTGTTCCACAGATCTGTCTGCTTACCATCATCCTTCAGCCAGCCACGTGGTCATAAACGTTCCTACAATATTGAGATGCGTTCTCAACGAGAGGAAGCACTTGTTAAAATGATCTATTTCCTAACTTGCAGACAGTGGAAACCAGCTGGGAAATTTGGGGGATTTCCTATGGACAGTCTCAGAAGGTAGTGAGTTCCCCCATCACCTGGGCTACACACAGACCTAATGACCACTTGTCAAGTTCATGGAGGGGATTCCTGTTCCCAGTAGGGGACTGTTTAGATGTAATCTTGTGTGTGCCCTCCAGGTTGGAGACTCAGATTCCAGATTGTTGGCACAGGCATCAAAATCCATGTGTCTTGCACTTTAACCCACTTATATATCAAACCCAGGGGCAGATTAAACAGTAAACAAGGCACACGTGGGCTTAATTGTGTTTACCTACTAATCTGTAGTGCACAGTTTCACGTGGGTTTCACCTCATCTTTGACGTGGTGAAAAGTGAAATTCTGCACTGCAGATTAGTAAGTAAGCACAAGTAAGCCTGTGCGTACCTTGCTTATTGAGTAACCTGTCCCTGATCACATCACATTGTTTTCAATGATTATTTCAAAGACAAGCACGCTGAGAGAAAAGGTTGGTCTGCTACATATGTTAAGTATCCAAACATTTGGTACCTTGATTAACACATGGATTCAATTCTCTCACTCAACCCGGTAATAAAAGGCCACCAAAGAACCTACCAATTCACGATGCAACCATTCATTTAATGGCTATAATAATAAGTGCAATTTACTGAGCTCCTGCTATACATCAGGCACTGTAGAGTCATCATCCCTAATTCTCAAAGCAATCTTAGGAGGTAGGTATTATAATTTTCACCTCCTGTCAAGGAAACTGAGGCTAAAAGAAGATAACTTGCCCACAGTCCCCCAGCAAAGAGGCAGCTGAGCCAGATTTTGAACCCAAGCCTATCTGGCTCCAGAGCTCATACATGTCCTATTATTCCACCCAGATACATGGGCTAAATTTCATCCCACAATGAGTCATGAAATCTCAGGGTCAGAATGACCTTCCACCCACTACA